GACTCTGCTGGGGGCAGTGTGGTGGGAGGGAAAACAAAGAAACTGCCCAGGGGGCATGTGGAGGAAGGCAAGCAGTGGTTCCCAGACTCTCTGAAGACATCCTCTTGCAGGAAGCTCTGGCAGACGCCCCCTAGAGGGCACAATTCAACCTGCAAAACTGCTTCTCAAGCCACAGCAGCCCAGGACCGTGGCCCTGGAAGGGCCTCAGAGCACACCTAGCCCTTCTTCTACCTTCACAAGAGTGGAGACTTAGAGTGAGAGAGGACAAGGAATTGCTGAAAATCACACAGAAAATCTGTGAAGTTGGCACCTTTGTGCTGCCTCCACATTCTTAAGACCAGTAGAATTCTTCCTCCTCCTTTCCAACTTGCCAGTAAAGTGCATCTCCCCTCTGCCATGGGACTGGATGACATGTTCAGGATGTGAAGTCTTGTAGGAACATCTTTGAATTCAGAAACATCTCCTGTTCATAAATATCCAGCTAACAACTGAAACTTCCACTGCTCCCAAAATAGCTCTGGGTCCCAGCACAGGCATTTCCAAGAACAGATTTTTATCCTTTTAAGAATTCTATGAAAGCAGAGAATCCTCTGGTTTGTACACCTACCCAAGAGAGCTCCCTGATCCTGGTCACAGACTGAGCCGTTACCCTGGTCACAGACCGTGGACCTAGACTGGTCTAGTTTCCAGGTAAGGGATATCTGCAATGGCTCATTATAATTATGTCACTCTCAATTCATTTGGACACAATGTTAGATTACTCTGATCATGAAATTCCCCAACTTCTATTTAAAGGGGTTTTCTTATAAATTAGGCATTTGGGATTAGCAAAGAACTATTATATATAAAATAGACAGGCAACAAGGCCTTACTGTGGAGCGCAGGGAACTAACTATACTCAATGTCCTGTAATAAACATAATGGAAAGGAATATGAAAAAGAATATATATGTATAACTAAATTGCTTTGCTGTATGCCAGAAACTAACACAACATTGTAAATCAAATATACTTCAATTTTTAAAAAAGAAGGAATATATATAGATGTATAGAAATATATATGTATAAATGAATCACTGTGCTGTACACCAGATATTATAATTCGACTGTGTACTATTTTTCTGTACATATATACCGAAAAATAAATAAATAAATAAATAAATAAATAAATAAATAAATAAATAAATAAATAAATACATACATACACATTTTTAAAAAGGGGATTTCTTGCTTGGAGCGGATCTTGGGATTGACTTCTCAACATCCATTTCCGGGCTAGAAAATTACTCTAAGCCAATCAATTCCATCCCCTTTGCCAGTGATTCACTCAAAGATGGGGAGTCCTAAGCCAATATGTGTCAATAAGACCTAAGGAGAGGCAATGGCTTCTGGAAAGGGAATCCAGTCTCTCTATTCCACTACTCTGTTACTGATATGCATGTTACCCCAGCTGCTGCCAAAGCCCTCTAATGACACTGACAGAAATGAGTCTCAAGCTGAAGCCCTGTTAGGGATGGCAGAGGAGAGAAACAGAAAAAACCTGGGCCTGCTGATGTTATTGAGCTACTGAATCAACCAGCCCTGAAGCCAGACCAGCTTCCGGCCTGTGACCATGTGAGCTGATACACTTAATAGTTTAAAACACTTTGAGATGGAATTTTGTTATCTGTGGATGGAAGCATCATGAATGATTCCCTGCCCTCCCCTCCCCTGCTTCCCCCTGCCACAGCTGCCCAGAACTCCCCCTCTAGGGGAACCAGCTCTGCCAGGGCTGGGTAGAGCACCTAAGCAGGGTGCTCCTCCCAGGTAGGAATGTCGCCTCCTTGAGGCGGAGTTCCCCATCTTCAGTAAAACACAGACCCAGATAATTACGTGAAATGCCACTGGAAGTGCTGTCGTTAATTTTGATGGCAATAAAGCGCCTTGCCAGCAAGTTAAGCTAATTTCATGAAAGCCCTGGGAGGAAGGTCGTGGACTGGATCCCATCTTATTAATAATGTCGAGCTTCATTTGAACCATTCAGGAAATTCCTCCCAGTTGCCTCCAGCCAACTGCCACAGGTTGCTACTTTCCTCTGAAATCAACAGTCGCCCCATATGCAAATGTGGATTTTTCTGTTTTTCCCTAGAAAATAATTAAAGTCACAGAGCCCAATAAATACTTAAACAGATTGTGATTTTAATTAAAAACCTTCCTCCAAGCCTGCAGCTGCAGGTCTCTTTCCACACAGGCGAACTGGTGACAGCCACAAACATCAGAATCCGGGCTTACGTATCTGAGACTAGAAGTCTTTACAAATAATCGTAGTAATTCTGGTTGTCACCCATGCCGCGGTGGGGGAGGGGTGCAGGGGGGCGTGAAGAGAGACATTTGGGGGAAGTGCCAAGGTCTTTCCCCTGCTGGAGAGCAGGACACAAGCATGTAGGGAGAGCAAACAGCTCATCATTCCTGTACCCAATGCTGCAAGGTAATGATGGTGGCTAGTTCTAGCTATCGTTGAAAAAAATAAAGCTCTTTCCTGAGCACTACCTACCCAAGTGCCAGTTACTAGATGCTTTGCATGCATTGACTCACATAAGCCTCACAGCAACCCAATAAAATAAGTATTCTTATTTATACCCTTCCCCTCCCCCACCCCAGGCACAGAAGTTAAGTAACTTAGCCAAGGTCATACAGAGAATACATGGTGGAGTCTGATGCTAGAACATTTCCTCCTAACCACTACGTAGAGTGTGTATGAGGGAAAAGAGAGATGGAAATTGGGCGATGGGGGTTATAAACAGGGACTGCGGAAGCTGAAAGGTGGGAAGCTGTATGTTTAGGAGATTCTGGCTAGAGGACAGGTGGGGAGGGTCTCCTGAGCCAGCTGCTATGCTGGGGATATGTGATGTCCTTCTAGGCCCTGGCTTTCTTACTCTCAGAGGCCCTCCCTCATTCATTAAATCACCTACCTCTCACATTAAATACAAGCACATGTACAGCTCTGAATGCAGTTCCAACTGAACATTGCACAAAGCAATGTTACATGTCCTAAACGTTTAGTCAAACGTCTATTACTTCCAACTTCGCAGTTTTCTATTTTCGTTCTTAAAGCCTGAAGAACATTTTATAGGTCCCTGGCAAAGTTGGACTTAAGGATTGCTTTCTACGGCTGGGGTGCAGGACTCAAACAGACAGCGCTCACGCAGCACAGGGGAAGGTTGAAGGAGGGTGGAAGAGGAGTACAGGACGGTTTCTTCCCAGCAGAACCAAACTCATTGATTCATGTCAGGGACTATTAGCTCAAGGAGCATCCGGAGGGTGGCTGTTGTGCCCTGGGCGTTGAAAACACAATGGGGTGAGAAGCGGGGACTGTGCCTGTGTTGGGCAGGGGTGAGGAGGTTGCAGATTCCTGGTACGTACGCTGGGTGGGCATGGGAAGGAAAGCTTCGGAACCTTGGTTTAGCGTCCCCCACTTGGGAACGTTGCGCCGCGGGATACAGAGCTGTGGGCAGCGCATGCCTCCGCCCTGGCTGGCCGAGTGTAACCCAGCCGTTACCCCGGGCCTCTGAGCCGGGCAGCCGATTTCCAGCAGGGGGCGCGCGCGGACCAGGCCTGGGCCCGAGACTTGAACGCACAGAACGCGGAGAGCTAGTGTGGGGATCCAGTGGGTTTCAACCCGCTCTACGCTCGCGACCGTCCGGGTCAGCTAGGTCGAAGTTAGAGGTCGAGCCACAAAAAGGTGCCCGGAACTCTAGCTCTTCGCCCTGGGTCTGTCTAGGATCGCCCCCCACCCCCACAAGCCTAGTCATTGAGCCTCGGCATATATTCTGCAGATTTCAAATCTGGGCTCTCCACGTTGGCGTCTTGGAACCTTGCATCCCTCCTCTCCCCACATCTACTTCCACACACCTGATAAGATGTCTGTTTCTTTAACCATCAAAGACGTGGGCGGCGGCGGGGTGGTACCTTCGCTCCCGATTCCCCAGCCCTTCAGTAACTGTATCGTTATTAACATCACAGACATTAGAGCGGCTCCTGCGCGCCTGGTGGCGCCGGTCTAGATGCGCTCAGTCTTCTAGTTGAGCTCGGAGGCTGATCCTGGAGTCCTAGTTCCCATCTCAGGCCTCGGAGGACTCTGCCTAGGGCGACGCGGGCTCCAGCCCTGCCAGGGCGGGCACTGACCTCTTCAAGGTCCAAGGCGGTGGTAAGGCTTGTCTTTCCCCCAGGGCAAGCTCGGGGAACAAAAGCACTTGCTGGACAGTGGGGGGAGCCGCGGGGGTCCGCGGGAGTCGGCGCCCTCGCTTAGGTGGTCACTGCGCCCTTAGCGCCCTCCAGGCTCCTGGAGCCCTGTCTCCCTGCAGAATCCCCCCGGCTTCTGCACCCTCAGCAAAAGAGCGAGGGAAAGGGGTCTTTCTTGGCCCGTGGGCCCCGGAGGTTCCCAGGACGCGGGTAGGGAGGGTCCCTACGGTCCAGGGAAGTTCCTCTGCGAAGAGTGAGCAAGCTCATTTTTCCTTCTGTTCCCCAGCCTCTGTCTTCCAGTCCCTCAACCCTTCCAAGTTATCCCCTGCCTCTCCGTCCACCTTCTAGCAGAAGGCAAAAAGAACCAAAAAAGAGGTGAAACTTGGGTGGAGGGTCCTCAAGCACGCGCCTCAAAGCTGGAACCTCGGTCCCTGCCTTTATGCCGGGAGCCCCTCCCTGCGCCAGGGAGTCTCCAGGACCCCCCACCCCCAACCCAGGACCCACCCTCCAACCTCGTTGCTGGGCCCCCGCCTCCCCAGGCCCCTCTTCCTCGACAAGCCTCCTGGAACCGCCCCTCAGGATTCCCAGGACGCAGACAACACGCCCAGAACGCCCCCTTGCTCCGCAGACAAAGAGGCTGTGCCAGGCCAGCCGGCCGCGCCATAGCCCGGCCCAGCCAGACCGAAACCACCCGGACTCACTCCTGGACTAGGGACCTGCTCCCGCTGCCCCCACTGCAGGGTAAAGGTCCTCTCACTCCTCCTCCCTGCTCAAAGATGTCTTCCGTCTCCGGAGTCCCCGCGCCCTTTCCCCGGGGCTTCTGTGGGGACTATAGGCCCAGGCAGGCGGAGTGAAGTTCTGGGTTCTGAATTCTGAGTTGAGAGAGATGCGCAGGTCCCAGACCGCTAAGCAACCGCAGGAATAGGAGAGAGGGAAGGATGTCAAGTGCACGCGCGCATCTTTTCATATTTAATTTACAAAGGATCCTCGGAACCCGTAGTCGGGTGGTCTCTTTAGATGCAGCGCTCCTCACCCGTCTCCCCCCCCCAAACCTTCCCAGCTCATTAAAATGCTCAACGCTCAAATTGGAAGATTGATCTCAGAGGCCCCAAACCCGAGCCACCGACCCACCTTCAGAGACCGCTTAGTCCAGGGTGAGGGCAGGGGGGCCACGTGCTCCCGGAGAACTCAGTGTGCACGGAAAAACCGGGGAAGGCAGGGACTGTGCGTATTTCCCGGAGCCTGCACCCCTTTCCCGACTCTGGTCAGCAACTCTGTCTCCAGGGCTGCCATGGGCACCGTGGGGAGACAGAAATCGAGTTTTATACAAATGCCTCAACATTCCCGCGCCTCCACCTCCTTGTTGCTGAAAGAAATATTGGGATTTCTCCTAGACAGGGAACAAGAGTTGGGAACAGCAGACAGTCGAGTCTGCTGGGGCCGGCTGTTGTGTGAGGGTGTGAGACAGCGGGGCGACACCGGGCCTCGGAGACTTTGAGGGGTAGGGTGTGGGATTGACGGTGTGTTTGCTTGTTAGGCTGTAAAGATGTTGGCGGAGGCGGAGGCGGGGGTGGCGGGTAGAGATGCTCAAGCCTTAAGTCCCCAGCCCACAGTGCTCAAAAGGAGCAGACGTTTTGTAACCATTCCTTTCCGTGCCGCTGTCTCCTGCAGCCCCGGAGCCCCACTCGCCTCTTAGCTGGCAAGACCTGAGAGCAAGATCAGGACGGCTTCCTGGGAGCGGAGGCTGGTAACCACTCTCCCGGCCCCATCCGGCAGTACGCACCGGCCGGCGCGCTGGGCGGTGGGCTTCAAGCGCTGGTTTAGCCACAAAAGACGAGACGTACAGAGTAAAGCTGAAGAGACTTGGCAGGGTCGATGGTGGGCTGGGGAGGGGAGCGTTGATTCCCCGCGCACCCTGCAGGGCGGTGCTTTCTCGTCTTCGGGTTGGACGGGGGGGGGGGGTGCGGGGGAGATCAGGGCTCCTAGCTGCCCAGATCCAGGCAAAAATAGCAGGGAGGGTGAGGCTCTTTGCTAACACTATCAATTATGCATAGTGTTGAATGTGGCTTCGGGGAGGAGGCGGCTAGCAGGGGGTGGGTGGTGCGGGAAGGAAGGGTCCGCGCGAGCCCGGCTGCGCGCAGCTCCGCCGGTCCCGCTCGAGGTCTGTCTGCGCCACCGCCTGCCTTTGCAAAAAGAGTTTAAAGGCAAAGGCACGCCTTCCCCCCTTCATCGTGCGCCTTTCCTTCCCCCCAAATTCCTCAAAGATGGTTTGTCTCACGTGTTGCGGGGTGTAAAAGCGGTTCGCATTCAATTAACAGCAAAGCTCACGGGCCCTGGCGGGACCCGCGCGTGAGGGTGAGTGCGCATGAATGTGCTTGCGTTTAGGAGGGGGGGAATGGTGAGTGTTCCGGGTGAAGGTGTGCATTTGAAAATGTGTGTGAACACATTGTTACATGATGATGGGTCATTCTAACATGTGGACTGTGTGGAGGGTGTGAGGGTCTGTGTCTGTGCCAACGTGTTTGAGTGGGGGGCGGTGTGATTAGAGATAGTGACAAGGTCTACGGATGTGTAAATGTGGGGGGGGGCATGGATTATAGGAGTGTGGTGAACTGGGAAGAGCCGAGCCAAGGGCGGTGGGTGTGGGGGCATCCCTTTGTGACCAACGTCTCTCGGCCACTGGGAGAGTCTCTATGGCTTTAACAAATGTAGATGGTGCGGGTGGTGGGAGAGGCTGTGCGCGTCCCTGCCGAGCCCGGGAGCGCGCGAAAGGACTCTTCAATCGGCAGCCAGTGAGAGGTGGGAGGAATAGACGAGAAACAAAAAACTGAAGTGGGACCTCAGGGCCAGGAAAGTCCAAAACTTACCTGTCCCTTTCTCTGTCCCTCCCTCTGTCTTCCCCACAGTCGCAGCAACAGATGTGGAAAGCGCCCTTGGGCTGTCGTCCTGGCTCCGCAACATCAGGTCTGGAGAAAAGGTTGCAGCCCCAGGGCAGCGCACGGAGTCGGCGAGCAGTGGGTAAGGCGCAGAGACCACCTCACAACCCTGACCCAGGTAAGGGTAGGTCCTGCCTAGGGTGCCAGACACCGCCGGCCCTGAGACAGGGGAGAGGAGAGGAGGCGGGTCTCCCTCCAGAGCACGGAGGAGTGAGGAACGTGGGTTCCTAAGGACCAGAGTGTGGGAGGTGCTGTGGCAAACTTGCCATAAGCCCTAGGTGGGAGCAGGGAATCTGTGTGTAAGTGCATTTGTGTGGCTTGGGATTTGAAGCTTTTGGGGGAGGGGTGGGGAGCTCAAGCATTGTGTGCTGCTGAAAAGGGGCAAGATCTTGAATCTTCTCCTGCTTGATTAGCTAGTGGCAGCCCCCTTGAACCACGGCTGGGAACTTCCCCTGCCCCCATGGGAGCCTGCAAAGGTAGGAAGGGGAGGGAGAATCTTGAGTGAGCTCCCTCCATTGCTCCTGGCCCCTGCTTGGAGGAGGACCTCCTTCCTCAGATGGAAGGTTAAGCGAGCAAGCCGTCAGTTTTCCCCTCCCAGGAGCTGAAGCCAGAGGGGGCCTGACAAGTTCGTTTCCCATCCCAAGCCTCTTAGCACCTGCCCCAAGTTCTCAGCATTTGCTGATCCTCTGAGATTTCAGTTTTGGAGGATACTCAAGTGTATACTCAAGTGTCCCTGTATGTGGGTTGGTCTGTGTGAGGACTTGTGTCCTGGTGTCTGTCATTTCTCACAATGAACAGAAAAGCGCTTTGCCCCATGATGGAGATCGCTGTACAAATGCTGTGTTCGATTGAGAGAACAATGAGGTCTCCAGGATACATTGTGTCCTTGGGTCTGTCACGGTGTCTTTGTGTTTGTTTGTCTACGAAATGTGTTGTGAACCTCTAAATGCCTGCAGAAGTTGGCAGTTTGATGGCGGTGCCTGGGTGTGTGTTTGTATTGTGCGCCTATATGGGCGTGTGTGCAAGTGCTGTGTGTGGGACAAAGAGTTCAAAGGAGGACAGGCGGTCATGGACAAAAATGCCCTTTCTGTTTATTCCTTTCACTGAGTTAAACGAAAGCTTAGAAACATAGGCAGGGGTCAGTGCAAAGCCCAAGGCAGACCCGCGAGCAGCCCAGCCTGCGGAGGGGCCAGCCTCAGGGTGACCCGACAGGTAAAGAAAAAAACAGGAGGTAGGAGGCGGCTGGAAAAAGAAGTCAGGGACGTAAGAGGGAGCACACATTGAATCCCGAGACTTTTACTGAGCTCCAACTCGTGCCTCAGAGACCTCCTGGGCACAAAGGAGAAAGCTGCCGGAGCCCTGGGACCTGCCCTAGACGGGTTTACGGAGGCAGAGCTTGATAGGGGAGGGATGGGGCTCGGTGAGTCACCCTCTTCCCCTGGCTTCCACCTGCAGGATCCACGATGGTGCCCTTGCGAGCACTGTGGCTGGCCTGGGCGCTGCTAGGAGTGGCCGGAGCGTGCCCAGAGCCGTGCGCCTGCGTGGACAAGTACGCGCATCAGTTCGCCGACTGCGCCTACAAGGAGCTGCGAGAGGTGCCCGAAGGACTGCCGGCCAACGTGACCACGCTTAGCCTGTCGGCGAACAAAATCACTGTGCTGCGGCGCGGGGCCTTCGCCGACGTCACGCAGGTCACGTCGCTGTGGCTGGCGCACAATGAAGTGCGCACTGTGGAGCCAGGCTCGCTGGCTGTGCTGAGCCAGCTCAAGAACCTCGACCTAAGCCACAACCTCATATCCAGCTTCCCATGGAGCGATCTGCGTAACCTGAGCGCACTACAGCTACTCAAGATGAACCACAACCGCTTGGGGTCGTTGCCCCGAGACGCACTCGGTGCGCTGCCCGACCTGCGCTCCCTGCGCATCAACAACAACCGGCTTCGTACATTGGCTCCCGGCACCTTCGACGCGCTGAGCGCGCTGTCACATCTTCAACTCTATCACAACCCCTTCCACTGCAGTTGCAGCCTTGTGTGGCTGCAGGCCTGGGCCGCGAGCACCCGGGTCTCGTTACCCGAGCCCGACTCCATCGCGTGCGCCTCGCCTCCCGCGCTGCAGGGGGTGCCGGTGCACCGCCTGCCCGCCCTATCCTGTGCACCGCCCAGTGTGCATCTGAGTGTCGAGCCGCCGCCTGAGGCGCCAGGCAGCCCCCTTCGCGCCGGCCTGGCGCTCATGCTACACTGCGTCGCCGAAGGACACCCCACACCCCGCCTGCAGTGGCAACTTCAGATCCCGGGTGGCACCATAGTCTTAGTGCCGCCGGTCCTGAGCGGGGAGGATGACGGGGACGGGGCAGAAGACAGGGAGGAGGAAGGAGAAGGGGACGGGCCCACGCAGACAGAGGCCCCAACCCCGACTCCAGCACCGGCTTGGCCCGCGCCCCCAGCCACCCCGCGCTTCCTGGCCCTCACAAACGGCTCCTTGTTGGTGCCCCTCCTGAGCTCCAAGGAGGCAGGTGTCTACACATGCCGTGCCCACAACGAGCTGGGTGCCAACTCCACTTCACTACGTGTGGCAGTGGCAGCTGCCGGGCCCCCAAAACACGCTTCTGGCGCAGGGGGAGACCCTAACGGGCAGGCCCCAACTTCTGAACGTAAGTCCACAGCCAAAGGCCGAGGCAACAGTGTCCTACCTTCCAAGCCTGAGGGCAAAATCAAAGGCCAAGGCCTGGCCCGGGTTAGTGCCCTCGGAGAGGCTGAGGCGGGGCCAGAAGATGAGGAGGAGGCAGGTGAGGGAGAGGAGGCCGAAGACCAGGTCTCTGCGGACGGGGTGGAGGAGCAACGCTGTGGCCACGGGGACCCCTCGCGGTACGTGTCCAATCACGCGTTCAACCAGAGCGCGGAGCTCAAGCCGCACGTCTTCGAGCTGGGCGTCATCGCGCTGGACGTGGCGGAGCGCGAGGCGCGGGTGCAGCTGACGCCGCTGGCGGCGCGCTGGGGCCCCGGGCCCGGCGGGGCTGCAGAAGCCGGGCGGCCAGGGCGGCGGCCAGTGCGCCTGCTCTATCTGTGCCCGGCCGGGGGCGGCGCAGCCGTGCAGTGGTCGCGTGTAGAGGAGGGCGTCAACGCCTACTGGTTCCGCGGCCTGCGGCCCGGCACTAACTACTCCGTGTGCCTGGCGCTGGCAGGCGAGGCTTGCCACGTGCAAGTGGTGTTCGCCACCAAGAAGGAGTTGCCCTCATTGCTAGTTATCGTGGCGGTGAGCGTGTTCCTCCTGGTGCTGGCCACCGTGCCCCTGCTGGGCGCCGCCTGCTGCCATCTGCTGGCCAAACACCCGGGCAAGCCCTACCGTCTTATCCTGAGGCCGCAGGCCCCGGATCCCATGGAGAAGCGCATCGCCGCCGACTTCGACCCGCGTGCCTCCTACCTCGAGTCCGAGAAAAGCTACCAGGCAGGCGGCGAGGCGGGCGGCGAGGAGCCAGAGGAGGTCCCCGGGGAGGGCCTTGACGAAGACGTGGAGCAGGGGGACCCAGGTGGGGACCTGCAGAGAGAGGAGAGCCTGGCGGCCTGCTCGCTGGTGGAGTCCCAGTCTAAGGCCAACCAAGAGGAGTTCGAGGCGGGCTCCGAGTACAGTGATCGGCTGCCCCTGGGTGCCGAAGCTGTCGACATCGCCCAGGAGATTAACGGCAACTATAGGCAGACAGCGGGCTGAACTCCCAATCTGCCCGGCCGCCCATTCCCATCCCCACCTCGGGCGCCTGGGAGCAGAAGCCTACTGCTGGCAGGATTTATGCACCCCTCTCTTCACTTACTCCGCCCTCTACCACCCTCTAATCTTGACTACTGGGGACTTCTAGTGGGGAGTGGGATGATTTCATCAGTCCCACCCACAATGGTCATTGACTTTGTGGGTTGAATTCGCCTCCACGGCAAGCACAGCTTCCCCGCTCCTCCCTCCCTATGTAAGACACCACCCGCTGACCGTGAGGCTAAACCCAAGCCTCTCCATTCCTACCGCAATTATCTGCGCAATCGCCCCGCTGCCCGCCCCATCGTGGTCTCGAGAGCAGAGAAAATGAGAGAAGACGTTGGAAACATCTGATGGTAGCGCTGTGGCTCGAGGATCAGCCCGGGACCCCCAGCAGATGTCTCTAGCGTGGAGCGCTGTGGGGTCCTGCCTCGACACCTTATTCAGCCCTTTCCGGGGTGCGCGTCCCAGAAGCCAGGATTCAGTGGCAACTCCCCAGTTTTTAGATTCAAAGCCCCCTTCTGATTGGGAACCAAACACTTCTGTCCCCCCATCCGCACTCTGCTTCTAAACAGCTGGAGCCGAGCCGGATGCTTGCAGCGCCTTTCAGCTCCGCGCTCTGATTTTCATATTTTCGTTGTTTTCAAAGACAGCACACTCTGGGTCTGGTGCTAACACTCCCTTCCTAGCCTCTGGGAAAACGTGTGTGTGTGTGAATGGGGGCGGGAATCCGTCTTCTCTCGCCCCCTCTCCTAACTTTAAGCGCTGCGGAACCGCGGGCCTCTCCCGCGGAGGGCGCAGCCTCAGTCCCAGGCCAGTTTCGTGGTGGGTGGGTCGGAGTTTCTGGAGATCGGTGCACTCGACAGCTCCGCTCCCGGGGGTGCACGGGCCCAGACCTCAGCTCGAGAAGCGCCGGGGGCGCAGGAAGCCAGCTGTGGCCTCCCAGACCTGGTGTCTCGTGAGGGCTTGGGCCCTGGTTCGCACAAAGCCTGCCCGTGACCGAGCGGCAGGATCCGTATGGAGAAAGGCCCTGGGTCCTCGCGCCTCCCCGCCCGGCCCCTCCTTCCGCGAGAGTAGTATTTGCCCAGCTGTAGTCCTAGACGAGCGTGCTCTGTAGGAGAAAAATCTGTGTCCCGTAAAAGTGTGTCAAGTGTAGTATGGGGAGGAGGGCGGGGAGGGCGGGGAAGGAGGGAGGGAGAGGGACGCGGCGCGGCCACTCGGGCGGGGGTCTTTTTTTGTTCTTGCAGAAAACCGTCGGGGGTGGGGGTGGGGTGGGGTGGGGGCGCTGGGACCAGCCCTGTCCGCGAAGCGCAGCACAAGTGCGGCCCGGGGCGGAATAGCCCCCTGGAGCCCGCGCCCTTTTCTAAAGGCGTCTGTATGTAAACAGTCAATAAAACAATCAATTTGAACTGGGCTTGGTGACTCTTTGTCCGGGGACAGAGGGAGGAAGCCTGGGGGATGCAGGAAGAAACCGCGGAAGGCAGGAGGCCCTCGGATCCCCCTGTTGAGATCCTTTGTGTGATTTCGTGTTTGTCCTGTGATTTTGCCAGGTGTTTACACCTGGTGACTGCTCTTGGTGCCTTTAACCCTGGATGGAGGAGGGAAACCAAGTGGGATGGGGGAGGCTGGAAGTGAGTGAGGAGGACTTGCAAGGGGGCAGACTGAACTGGGGGGAGCTCCTGAGTGCATGAGTGTGTTGTGTGTGTGTGTTGTGTGTGCACAATCCTCCTTGGGTTGAGGCTATGATGGGGTGTGGCTCTGTGTGTGAGGACTGCCTAGTTTCTGAGTCGCAATACCAACCTTGGCCCTCTAAGAAGCCAGTGGGGGAATTCATAGGCGCAAGACTGCTGCGGCTTGCACAAGAGAAATCACAAGCAACAAACTACAGAGCAAGCAGAGCAAGCAAATGATGGAGGGCAGCAAAGGGGGAAACCTGGCAAGGTTGATTCTACAGAACAAGCTGGCATCTTAATCCCAGGAGCCGTGTGTGTGAGTGTGTGTGTGTGTGTGCGCGCGCGCACGCTTGTGCTGGGGGTGACGCTCAGTGACTGAGGCATGGACAACCGGCAAGGTATGTGAGACTTGGCGTGGGCTGAGGTGGGTGCACATGTACAATCGGGGTTGGAAGCACACTCATCTAATAGTCCTAGAAATGAAGCTTCTTGAGTGGGGAACTGGAGAGACAGAGGGATGGGAGTGGATGCTCCTGTCCAGCCCAAAGTGCTCAGTCTGGGCTGGTTGTGTTTCAGCTGAGTCCCCCCATGGGATAGGGTGTGGCCAGGAAGGGAAGCAGAAGAGGAAAGGAATAGAAATGAGGGGGCAGCTGAAGATTCTATCCCTACTCTCCCTTCTTCCTGCTTCCAATCTCTTCTCATCCTTCACTTTCTCTGTGGATTTCAGGTCTTCCTAATTGAACCAGGCCAGCCTGCGGACCAGGCCAAGTCCAGACAGCCAGCATCCTACCCTAGTCTGTCTCCTGGCAGAAGTGTTGGCTGGGACACTTCCCAGGGCCGGAGCTCAGGTTCTCTTCCCAGACCAGCAAAACTGTCTCTGAGAAAAATTCCCACCTGAGGGCCACAGCCCAAACCTTGCCACTGCAACCCACCCCACCATCATCAGGGCCATAGCTCAGAAATACACTCTTTCAGGAAGAAGACTGCGTTATTCTATCCGCAAATGCTGCCTTTGAGCAGGGGCTGGGGCCGGCCCAGTGTCTGTGATTGGTTCAGGAATCCACCCACATGATTGCTTTGAGCACAGGTCTGGCTGGGCCTGTGAGTGCGTATCAGTGTTGGTCCCACCCAATACTCTCACCATGGGAGGGGCTGGGGAGAAGGGTTCCTTCTTGTCCCCCACCCCCATCCTTGCCAAGGATGGTGAACCCTCCTGGAGACCCCTAGGATCCTGACTGCCCGCAGGGGAATGTGCAGAGTTACTGAGAGACTGGCCCCTTCTTTGTCCTGGGCCAAGCTTCCTAATAGATGAACACACACCGCTCAGCTAGGCCTCATGCTCCCTGGACAAGCCCAGGTCCAAAGGCTTAGCCCAAAGGGAGAGGAATGGGTGGTGCTGGAGGTGGAGGACCAGGATGTGGTGACCCTCTGCAGACTGCCCACTGAGATAGCAGCCCCCTCAGGATCTCTCCAGCTCCTGTCTGAATGTCTGGGACATGGTCCCCAGCCTCCGTCCTTCCTTCCTGTTTCTTTCATTCCCTCCTCCTCTCTCCTCTCTGTTCTCTTTTTCTTTCTGCCTCTTATTTCTTGCTCAAGAAATCTCATAAAATCCCAGCGTTGCAAGAGACCCTGAAGACTTGCTAATTCAACTCCACCAGTTTGAGGTTTAATTCTTTTCTAGACTGTCCCCATCAGATGGCTGTGTGAGACGGGGACCCACTATTCCCTCCCTCCCACCAAGGACCCAGCTGTGGAGCAGTTTCAAATGTGTCTCCCCCTCAGTCCACCCTCAGGCCTGACTGCCATTGACATGTGCTCTGTGAGACCCTGTGGAAGTGTGGAGGTTTGAGCCCTACTTGCATTCCTCACTCCAGGATTCCAAAGCTTTTCATTCAATGTGCATTTTTTGAGGTTCTACTGTATGCTCCAGGTGCTGGGCTAGCTAGCTCTCTCTAGTGTATTTTATCATAAAACTTATTTGGATGAGAATGGAGTCTGATGGGTTGAGGAGTGTGTGTGTGTCTAAATGTGCACTGGGGGGACCTGGAAAATGGTCAGAGAATGCAATATGACAGCAACAGCCTTGGAACTCAGAGCAATTTATCAAGGACAGTAATTCTTTGAGCTACAGAAGCCAGATGCCCAGGATGTGGCCTTGAATCAGATCAGAAAACTGTCTGCAGAAAGGTGATTTGAAAGGAGTGCCTCCACCTGCTCCCTAGTATCTCCTAAAGATCCAGCTGGAATGAGAACCATCTTGAAGATCATTAGAGAAAGTCCATTAATATCAAAGGACAAAGGAAGACAGGGCTTCTGTGAGGAAGAAGCAGCTGGTGTGGCGTCCTCTGCTCCCTGATCTTGTGTCTGGAATGCAGCCCTCCACCCGTGGCATCTAAATTACAACCACAACTAAAGCTAACGTCTCTAAAGATGACTTGAGTCAGTAAATGTTTGGACTGCTATTCCCTGGTGGTGATGCTAATCTTGGTTTTCCTTCCAGGTTCTCAGGGTGATGCATTTTGGTACATAAAGGAAAGGGGGGTCTCTTGCTGTGACTGCCTTGCCCCAGATTTGTTAATATCAGAGCCCCAGTTATGAGACACCCCAGGGAAAGAGGGACCTTCTGTCTGTATACCAGGAGGCATCATCCGCAGAGAACGAACCATGACTGCAAGAGCACTGAGCAAGAGAAACTGGGAGACCTTGTCTTTTCAGGGATTTGGTTCATTCTCTGCTGAAAAAGCCAAGCCTAGATACTAGGATATAAGAAAGGCCTTATGTAGAGGCCTTAAATTGTCAAGTCTGATCTAACAAATACCTTTATCTTGTAAAAACTCCAACATAAAGATATTGACAAGAGCAGTTCTGGAAAACTGGAGATTGGAGCAGGCAGGCAGAGCCATTTCAGTTGTAATAAGTCAATTAATTGATTGTATTTGCAACACATCCACCTGTGCATATGTGTTCAATGACAAGATTTTGCCTTAGGACTCAATGGAGAATAACATTATATTGAAAATTAAAGATCTGCTGTGACTGGCATATAAAAGAGATTGAATTATAAAATGTCTTACAATAGTAGCGTTTAGTTCAAAATATGACTAGTGTTCCTAATGAGACTTGATATGGATTAAAAAAAAAAAGCCACCCAAAGACCCCATGATGGGTAGACTTGTTGTGTTAAATTAGTTGGAAAGACTTTGTATCATCCCTTGGTTGAATAAGTAATTTAGGTAATTTGAAGATGGTATGATTTTTTTAAATTGTGCTAATTGCCTATCCTTTGTCTGGACATGTGAATGTAGGTTTAATAATTAAATTTAAGTCCACATGGAATGAGGAGAATAAAAGTGTTTATATTTTTATCAACTGTTTACTGCTTAAACATTTCCCCCTGTGGATTACGAGTTAATTTGGTTTTGGCAAATTAGATGCATTTTCTCTTAGCAACACTCTAGCAACTGGTCCTTAAATTGAGTCTAAAAGCCATTCAAGGCATCCAACCATTTGAGAGAAAAACTGCCACAATCATAGAGATCAGAGAGGAACTTCATAAGAATTGATCAGTGTTGAAATGGGGCAAGAATGGGAATGGTGAATTAATTATCAATACTTTGTAATAAAAGTGGCTTATCATATATTTAGACTGGCTAAAAATGCTACTGGTCACCTCAGGTTAACAAAAATATTAACAATACCTGTAGTAGCTAACATTTATTGAACTCTTACCATATTTGAAGCACATGCTATGGAATTTAAACACATTATTTTCTTAACCCTTTTAATTATCCTGTGAGGTGATATTATTCCCATTTACAGCAAAGAGACCAAAGAACAGAAGGGGTTAGTCATTTGCTGAAGGTCACACCACTGTGATTTGCAGGGTTGAAGTCTGAACTTCAGTTATCTGATTCCTAGAGCTCTTAGCCGCCAAGCCAAACTTCCTCCCATGCCTCTATAAAAATCAGTTTAAGTGAGGGATGATATATTTTATATAGTATTGCTAAATTTGCTGCTAACTATGGAATTTATCTAGAAAAAGGATTTCACTTGCTGTCTCTCTTATTTCTCAAAATAACATCCCCCCATGATAAGAGTTATGCAGGATTAAATGTGAATAGTTATAGCCACTTTGGGAAAATCTTTGACAATACACTAAAGAAGGTAAAGATACATGTAGCTTGTGATTCAGCAATTTCACTCTTGGGCATATACCCAGTATAAACAAACACTTACATCCATCAAAAGACAAACGAGTCTTATGGTGCACGCAAGTGCAAAAATGTTCATAGTGGCTTTATTTGTAATAGTCCCAAATTGGAAACAACTCAAAATTCCACCAAGAGCAGAATGAGGTAGGGGAGCAGAAACTGTGGCATATTCACACAGTGGAATACCACACACCACGAGAAAGAACAAAGCTGCAACGACATACAACAGCACAGATGTCACGACGTTGAGTGAAAGAAGAATATATAATGCTTGATTTCATTTACATGAAGCTCAAGTACAGGCCGAACTAATTCTTGGTGGAAGAAGACAGAACAGTGTTGGAAGGCACTGACTAGGAGTGGGAGTGATCAAACGAGTGTTCTGAGAGATGTTCCATATCTGGATGTGGGCGGTGGTTTCATGGGTGTGTGCATATGTTGAATTTCATCAAGCTATAAACTCAAGATGTGTACACTTTATTGTATTTGTTATACCTCGAGTTTTAAAAATGGGGACA